GTAAATATATATTTTTATTCCAATACATGTGAATTAACTATGTTACAAAAATATTTATATATATAAATATGTAGGTTGTAAAACTGGAACTTTCCAACTTCATATATGAAGTATATATATACCTTTATCATTACAAACTTAGGCATCATAAAAATAATATTATGTCATATTATGTAACAATGTGATACTTATTTGTTTATTGCTTGAATGCAATTCAGATTCTAGTGAAAACATTTTGGACACTGTGTGTAATGTAAGCAAGCACAATAGCTTATTCACCCTTGCAATCAAATCATAAAATAGAAACAATCTGATATAAACTTTTCACATGTAAATTATGAGTGAGTCAGGTGTGAATGTATATTTTGTTTTTTTTATAGTTATAATGTTTTGTTTGCTGTAATGCACAAATTGTAAGACAAATTTCCTTATGGACAATAAAGATTATTATTATTTGTCACGTACACTGTATCTATATTTAGCCATAGTCTATATTTAGAATTTTAGCTACCTCGGGATTTTCTATCACGCAACTAAATAATGTTTTGAAATGGATATGATTGGCTTGAGATGTTGATTGTTGTACATTGAGCTGCATTTATTGGTCAGATTTTAACCAAGCGGCAGAGAGATATATGGTCACATGACGAAACGCCCAAGCCTTGTAAGCTGAAAGATTTGACCGCCAGTCTTGTGCGGAACGTGTTAGATATAACATGTACTAGAATCTAGTGTTAGAACTCAATTATATTATTGTGTAGATCAGTTATTTTATTCAAGTACATTTAACCATTGTAATTATTTGTGAATAGCTTATCCAAGTTCTGAATTAAAGTATTTGTTTTAGACGAAGAGAAGTTACTTCATTAAATATATAATAATATACTTAGATTGTCTTGTCAATTAGTAATTTCTAGATGATCATCTTATCAACTGACGATTTCTGAATCCTCTGCAATTACGATCATTGATTGTGCTTCAATGTGACATCTTGGCATCAAGTTTGATCGTAACATCTAGCACTATTGATGATTGTAACATTATTGTTATTGTTAGGCCCTATTATACAATAACTACCAAGTCATGTGGTCTGCGCTTCAGACTGTCTTCTTGTTAGTTCCAAGTACAAATCCTACCTGCTCCCATCCCCTGTCCTTCTGTATGAGGTTTGGGCTAGGACTAATCTTTATTTCTGAAGGAATTTCTGAAACTTTGACAATGATTCAATGTAATAAAAAGATGGCTAAATGTAAAATACAGCTTAAACCATCCCCTCAATTTGGTATATTATATTTATATCAAAAATGTAAAAAAACTATATGCATATTAAAGTATCATATTTAAGAAAACTTACCTCTGGTTTTAACTAAAAGAAACTAGATTAATTTACAGCTATCAATAATGATCATATATGTACCATATTATGTTGGTCTACATTTTGAGTTTAATATTGTTTTTTAAATTAAAGGGACATCACTCAGATTAAAGGGTTAACTGATGGGCCTATAGAAATTATGGAACAGATATGATCATTATACTGTCATTTTTTAATTGATGAGTAATTAAAATGAAATTTTGTGCCACTACCAATAGATGTATTTTAATGCTACATTTCAGCTCCATAAATGGAAACCTCAAGAAGCTGTGGACTTCATCAAGTCCAAAAGACCTCATATATTGTTGCGAGACAAACAGCTCAAGTCTATAGAAGATTATAACAACAGTTTCATAGATTCTTGATAATTACCTAAAATTAATTATTTTATACTTTAACTATTTAATCATCCATGGCAGTCCCACCACATTGCCTGCAAGTAGATCTCCAATCCCATTTTTTATTCAAGATTTGCTTAAAGATTTTGAATCCCTATGAGAATTTTATTCCACGACAGTTAAGAGCATGGTAGGAGTGTAGGGCTATGTAAGATGTGCTAAGTGTATATTTATAAGTGCAGGTAACTAAGCTATACAACAGCAAGAAGATCAAATGCATATAATAACTGAGAAGAAATAAAGCCCTATCAAATTAAATGGTGGGGGCTGTTGATGTGGTGGGGACTAAGAATAGTAAAATCTAAAACTGTTATTGTTACTTACAAGGTCAACTACCGTTAAAAAATCTAAAACTGTTTTTGTTGCTTACAAAGTTAAGTACTGTTAACTAAATAGTATAGCCCTTTACAATAAGGGTTGTGGATGTTTGTTTCTGTGTCGGTATCATTGTTATTCAGGGTCTGAGTGAACATTGAGTAAAAATTGTTAGTATTTATCCATTTACAATTTACATTGCCTATTATATTCTTCATAAAAAATGACTCAATTCCTATATCTTGAATTCAATAAAGAACTGTTAATACAATGTGAAAATCTATGAATTTTTTAAAATGATTAAACTTCATTAAAAATATATATTTATATTTTCATTTGATATTTGTGTCACTTTTTTTGTTTTGTTTATTTCTATTTTACTATTCTAAAAGGATTATTTATTTCTATTTTACTATACTAAAAGGATTATTCATCTCCATTTGTATGAAAAATGTATCCTTCAAGACCACTATATTTGAGGGTTAGTCATATAGGGTTGACTTCTGATTTAAAAAAAAAAAGTTAACTATAACATTTATTGAGATAAAGTATTTGCAATATGCTATGATTAGTAATCAAGAGCAAATATACTAAAAGATATATAAACTTATTCAATAATGATTCACTGGCATTCTTTATAGGAATATTCTTTAAAAACAACTGTCACACCTTTCTCACAATATTAGCCTACATTCCCAATCTCTGTTGGGTAAATGACATGCCACATCTAGCTCCAGAAGGTGCCAAACAGAAGAAATCAAGAATCAATCATAGCAGGAAAAGGGCCCTACAGAGAAATGGTAACCTTGTAACCATTGTGTGTTCTTAGATTGTGCAGTCTAAAAGAACTGATGTGCTAACTATACTCTTTGCATATATTTAAATGAGGCATAATATACAATAAATTCAAAGCAAAGGTTTACTTTGGAACATTTAATTTTTTATCATTATAAACTTACCAACAAACTGATTTTTCAAGTCATCATAGATGTATTTATGAGAATTTAGAAGCGTTGTTGTGTTGCAAAGGGAAAGATTATTTTTACAAAGCTTATATCAACTCACTCTGTCTATCTGGTACTACACATTATTTCTCCCACACCCAATCTTGGATCAAGCTGATTTTTTTTTTCACAGATATTTCTTTTACCTGGCAACACAAGAATTAATAAAAAAAAACAACAACAATTAGTTAATAGACTCTTGGTAATTAATTATTTTATTTGATGTCTCAAACAAGGGAAAGAAATTCTAATTGACTGAAATGGTGTTACAGGCTGAATTAATCCACTTTATGGGTTGTCATCTGAGTCTTAGAAGCAAACCTGAAAAATAGAACTTGATTGTAGAAATGAAACAATCTTCCATTTTCATAAGATCTCCATTAGCAGAGTGGTTACCATGTTGCATGTTGGCTTGAGCAGCCTGAAAAGTCTTGAGCTTTGAGTTCAAATTCAGGTCATTTTCCTCCCCCCCCCCCCTTTTTTTTTTTAAAAATGCTTTTTTATTGTTAGCCTAGATCTATAACAAATTTAATTACATGACTGATCCAACTGATTGGCACAAGTCCGCTTAATATAAGCTTTTTTTTTTAAAGTATTTTTTTTTTATTCTATGTTATACTTTTTCTCATTTATTTAATTCATATTCATGCATATATATATAGAAATAATTTTTAAAAAAATGCAAAATTTTGAAAGAATACTTTATTTTAATTCTTAACACTGAAGTTACAAACTGCAAAAAAGATTTAAACCTTGTCAGGTCAAAGAAACCAAATATTTTATTTAAAACAAGTAACACATACAAATTGTTATTCTGTAAACTGGTATGTTGAAATCTTTTTATCACAACACCAACGCAGGATACCAAAATTCTATGCTCGTTCTGGATTGGATTTTGGCACATCCGCACAATTTAGGCCATGTCATTATTGTGCTCATTCTGTATTAAAAAAATAATAAGTTGAAACCTGCCAAACCTCATCAAGCAATTAAAGCATACTAAGGACCAAAGCCCATATGACGTCATTACTGCTTTTAAGGGACTTTAAAAAGAAAAAAAAAAAAAAATTTCAATAAAGATAATTTTTTTAGTATTACTAAATTATAAAATAGTTTTAATTGATAGATGTTGTACTTTAGTGTGTGTCATTTTGTTGCTAATATAGATCTCATTCCTATTCCCTAGAGTCGAGATTTTTAAAACTTCTTTTTTTTACTTTCAGGTTAAGAGTTCCATATGTACACCTTTATATATATTTATTAATACAGTATGATTTATTTCCCTTTTCATTTGATTAATTTACATATTTTATCAAATATATTGTGAGACTATTACAGTTTTTAAAGTTTACTTTGTCTATTTCTGTCCTCTCTTTTAAGACTTAGTTTTCCTTTTTGTCCTTCTTTGGGCATGCAGGTGTCTACAGTAACCCATGAATGAACATCTCTGCAGGGTCTGATGTAATTATCATTATTATGTAACTTGGAGTTATTTCTCCATCATTAAAACAATAATATGAATAGAAAATAATTAAATTTCACTTTAAATATTTTAGCTTGATTATTATAAATTTATAGCACTAATTTATAAATTCAGTTTTTAATTTATTAGAGTAGGCCTACTTCATAAAAAGATCATATACAGATGACTTCAACAGTGACGGTTAGAAGGAAAATCTTTTAGAAAACACTAGACCCTATAATTTATCTTATAAACAAACACATTTTAGATTATAATAAGAAATGAATTGCATATTTACTTTTGGTTTTCCAAAAAGCAAGATATAGTCTTTATTATACTAGATTTAGATCTGTATACTCGCTGATGAAAATTTTATCATAAAAAAAAAAAAGAAAATTCAAATGCTAACTGACAGATTTTTCGCAACAACAACAACAAACAAAATCTGGCATTTCAGGGTGGGGGAATAATTAAAAAGTATAACCAATTTTACAAGAGATTTAAAAAAAACGTCATCGCTAGGTCTAAAGCTAGAGATCTAGTCTATAGATAATAATAGATCTAGATTATATAGACTAGATCTAGTCTAGAATGTATCTAGACTAGTAGAGTCAACATTTCCATCTATTTTACATGTTGATCTATAACAAAAAAGTATTCATAGACGATCTAGTCTACCTAGATAAGTCCTTTTGATAAACTTCCAAGATGAAAAATCTCTTAGAAAATTGCGAAAGACATTTTCATACAGATAATTTGTATGAGGTTCTTGGAGTGAAAATAGATGCATCAAAACAAGAAAGTATGTTTGTGCAACTTTGAACTTAGATCTAGGTTTTTTTACCTACTACTGGTAGTTAGATCTAGATTAGCTTAGAAAAGAAATCTAATCTACTCAACGCCAAGGAGATGAGGGGGAATTTCTATATCAAAACAAAACTTCAAATGAAACTTGACAAGTAGATCACTAGATGGTAGCAACAAAAAGTTTTAAAATAAAAACGCTGCCTAAATGTGTTTTTTTCAAGTTTTAATGGTAAAAAATATCTCAAGCACTAAACAAAACAGAACCAATTAGTAATTGTCAGAATTCAGTATTATATAATGTTCCTTTTATGTAATTTAACAGTAATGAAATGTTGTAAAATGTTTTACATGTTTCGGATGTTCCTTCAGAGTTGAAGATAGTTTACTTCCTAGTCCGAACCTCCCGCAGGACGACGGGGGATGGGAGCGGGCAGAGTTTGAACCCTCGACCGTCGATAAATCCGAACGACAGTCCAGCGTGCAAACCACACGACCAGGCAGCCATGATGCATGTTATTGTAATGATCATTTTTGCCCATGATTGAAAGGAAAGATTAAATCGCGAATTTCATCTGTAAAGAATGCAAGTTACCTTGCTGATTTCATATTTTAAACAAAATTAGCATGGTGTTGGCACAAATACTAAGATGAGACCAAAGCATCTGATTACAAAGCAATGAAATGAAGTCCTCTTTTTCTGTACACAACGATGAGGTGGAATGAATAGATGCAAGTGAAATAATAAGAAGAAGATCGATGTGCTGAAAGAAGTTGATACTTTGCTCATCATTTCTAATGATACCATGATGAAAAATGTGATATGGAAAATGATAATTAATAAATAATTCTTTTGTTAAATTAGAATTTTCTACGTTACTCTAGGGGTGAAAGGGGGTAAGAATAAAAGTGAGTTTTGGCTTTACATAATATCCTAACTTTCCCTAGTGTATATAGAGGTCTAATCGACCGAAAAATAAAAGTGAGTGCTGCAAGGGTCTCTATCTGCTGCTGTGCAAATAGGCCAGATTCTACTAGACCTTATTTAACAACTGAGTCTGCTAGCTTTGGCATTTTTAATCTCCTGCCTTGTCATGTTAGCAGGTTTACCAGATGAAAAATTCAATAGGCTGCAGTGAATTTAATACAAAGCTGCACAAAATTCTTACAAAAAACAACACGAGATTCTGCTACAGCTCTCCTGTGTACACTCCATTGGCTTCCTGTGAATGCAAAAATGAACTACAAGGTGGCAACACTTTGTCATCAGTGCATCGACAACAAAAATGCCCATGTACCTGACTGAACTTATCACTCCATGTGCCCCTCAGAGAGTTCTGCTCTCCATCTAATGATGCCATGTTTCTTTCTCAAAAAAGGATTCAATAACATGTTTGCTAATAAGTTTTTTAATAACTAGATCTAAGTCTAGTTTTAGATTCAGTAACTTGTTTATTAATAAGTTTTTTTCTCACATTCCTTCAGAATGAAGATTATTAGATTTTATCTTACTCCAATCCTCATAATATTTTTGAAACTTTAATTTGTAATGTAATAATTCCTTGTATTCTTCAGTAAAGAAAGGCTACCACAAGAAGTCCCTCATATTTCATCCAGACAGGGACACACAAGACAAGGCTGAAGCAACAATAAAATTTCAGATTTTAGGTCAAGTGTATAACATTCTCTCTGATGATGCAAGGCGAGCGGAATATGATGAAACAGGTATTTCTTTTCAAGCGTAAAAATTTTTTAGAAAAGCATTAAATGAAATGGTCAATAGAGGGAACATGGCAATACAATTAAGCATTCTATTAGCAGAAGTGCCAGCACATTATTTCTGTGGTGATATCAGCCTTGTAACATCATTTATTTATAAGGGTCTAGCACAGGTCAGTGTGGTGTTAATGCATTAATGAAGCAAGGCTAAACAATGAGATCATTGTAAATCTGGGTGTTATAACAATTTAAGGTTTTAGCAAGGCAGTTTGAAATTAAAGAATTGTGAGGATGCTATACAGGGCTTCAAATTCAGAATTTCTTTTGCACTAGACTCAACAACAAGGCGTTGAATGGATTGCTTACTCTGTAATTCTATTAAATATATGTGCGAACATAGATCCACATGGAGAGAGAGCATGAAGTAATGGTCACAGATTGCAGATATCATACACAACAGAAGCAGAGAGAAGGGGGAAAATGCAACGGCGCCTGGTGATTACATATACCCAACCTGCGATTGCAGCTGTGTATCAAGGATTGACCTCTTTAGTCACACAAGAAGTTGCAAAGGGAAAAGATCGTCTCTCGAGACATAAAATGCCACAGATGTGTGCAAACAACATTTGCTTTTCATCTTTATTAGTAAGTGAAATGAATAATAACAATAATGCACATATTATATGATTCCTTTTTTTTTTTATTTCAGATATAATAATAATAATAAAGGTTGTGTCTTATAATTTTGTGTTTGTTTGTGTCAATTATTTGATTCCCATCAGCATCAATGTCGAAATTTAAGATCACATTTTAAAATTAGTGATCTGAGAATACTCTAACCATTTCTGACAGGTAAATGACCAACATAATGCTATTTTATTATTTTATCATTTAGGTGCAGTTGATGAAGCCAGCGTTGAGCAAGACAGGAATTGGGAACAATACTGGAGACTGCTGTTTCCAAAGATAACACTCAAAGACATTGAAGAATTTGCTGTAAAATACAGAGGTTAATACTTTATTTGTTGTTTCTGTTCTTTGTCCTTCTAAAGTTGAGATTTCACGTTTCACCATTCATTCAGCCTCTTAAAGCTAATATTGTAACGAGAACATATTTCTTTTAACAATGATAATTATGAATATCTTTTCTTCTCCTTCCAATATGCTAGTACAAATTTGTACAAATGCTACTTCTTCCCTAGTGCTATTAGAGCATGGAATGGGTTGCCTGAGCCAGCCAGGAAAACCAATGACTTGGCAGAATTTAAGTCATTTTTTAACATGTGCGACTAGATGCATGACACGTAGGACGTAATTATCTCCTTTTTTGAAGTAACTTCTTTATAATATAAGATACAAAGATATTATATAGCAGACTGCTATTGTATATTAGTTTATTGTATAAAGTAATTGTATATTATTGTATAAAATATCATTAAGTTATTCACTCCTGCAGACTATAGAATTATTATTAAAATGTTGCCCTATCTTACAGCCTGCTCACTTTTTATTGCAAACTTCACCTTCACCATTGAAGAATTTGTTCACATTAAATCTTCAGGTTCAGATGAAGAGACAGAAGACTTAAAGGCTATCTACTTGTCCAGCCAAGGAGATATGGACACTATTATGAGTAACATGATGTATAGTACCTTTGAGGATGAGGACAGATACTCCACTCTACTCAAGAAGCTAATCAAGGGAGGTCAACTGCCAGACTATAAAGCATTCTCTAAAGAAAGCAAAAAGAAAAAGGAGAAGAGAAGTAAAAAGGTAAACATCAAGGAGTTTTTGGAAACATTAGAGTAGCCTCTCTTTGGTTAGTTGTTTCAAAAAGTAGCCCTAGTGGAGATTGCCCACAGATGTTAGATTACTGTAGTTGGTAAAAAGAACTATTGAGATATAAATTTTTGTTTGTTTTTTGTGTGTTTTTTTTTTTTTTTTTCAGAACAACACTTTTACTATCAATATGATTAAAAAAAAAATCTTCAAAATCTATTTATTGTAAAATATTTCTGGACTTAGGCCTACATTGTTAACAAATTATAAACAATTTTCACATACATTTTTTCCCCATAATGCCCAAACATTAGTTTTACCAATTTCCATACCACTGTCATTTTCAAGCTCCATAGAAAAATTGTTGTTTATTTATTTATTTTTTTTTACATTTCATTACATTAGCACTAATAGCTTATATTAAAAATAACTAAAAGTAAAAAAAAAAATATTAATTGTTAAAGGGTCGAAAATGCTGCCTAAAAAATGACTGGCTTTTCTCCATGTTCATGCCTATTATTTCCAAAAACACCTATAATATTGCTGTAATTTCTTGACTAATATTTTTTTTAGCCTTTGGAAATGTCCACTATGCTTGAGCTGTAGCTGTTGGCATCACTTGTTATTCATGTAAAAATAAGACCTATTAAAACTCATACTCAAGGGATGATGTTATGAATATGAAATGTATACCTTTGAAGTGTTATTAGTGATAAACTTACTTCAGTTGATAATTTATTTATTTTAGCAGATTTAATGCTTTGTCTACAAAATAGATGTGGTGGCTGAGTGGTAAAGCGCTTGACTTCCGAACTGGGGTTCGAATCCTGGTGAAGACTGGGATTTTTAATTTCGGAATCTTCTGGGAACATTCTTTTATATTTCAGGCGCAGCATGAGGCAGAAGAAGCTGAAAAAGAAGCGAAGAAGCTGAAGCTTGATGAATCTGAAGACTCTCTTATTGCAGCTATAAGAAGTAAGTCGAGGCTGCAGCAGTCGGAGAGCTTTTTATCCCAGCTGGAAGCTAAATATAGCAAGGGTACCTCTGGTAAGCTTGGGAGCAAATCAACAGCAAAGTCTGGAAACAAGTCAATGAAAGGTGCTAAAAGAAAGAAGAATATTTGATCAGGTGATTATATTTTGATATATCATATAACAAACTTGATTGTATATTGATAAGGCATAGGTCAAAATGGAGCGTGTTGGCAGAAGATCAAAATGCTTTTCTGATAAAAAGAGGGTTGAGATTCAGTCCTGGTGGAGCCAAGGCCTTACCTTAAGGCTGTCATTAATCCCACCTGCTGCCATCGTTACTGTGCGAGTAAAGTGGTTGCTCTTTGTCCTGTGTTAACAGCCCTATTAAGTGCCTGG